TAAGCTACTAACAAGATAAGATAAGAGATAAGAACAAGCGAAATGAGCTAATCTAATCTAGATAAGGCTGCTGTTGCCGAACTGGGTAGGATGAGCATCACTGAATCACTGCTGCTGCTGGCGGTGGGTCAGGTGCCTGTTGCTGCCGGCGGCGATGGTACGTCTTCCCGAGGAAGGCGTCCATAACAGGAACCCCACACTCGTGGCTAATATATATATATATATGAACTTGCCATTTCCTTGATTCTTGCAAGTTTTCACAGCTGTAGGGGTACTTGAACCTGCACTAGAGAAGGATGGGTTGTAGGGCCCACTTTTGAAAATTCCTTCTTCCTTTTTTCCCACATCTACATCATCATATTAAAACTGTTGCAACTAATTTCATCATCACTATGTTCATTTGTCTTATCTTTTCTTGTCTTAAAGAATTATTCTTCTTCCCCAATTTCCTTCTTTCCTTTTTCTGCGTCTACATAATTGTATTAAATTCTGTTGCAATTAATCTCATTATAACCATGTCCATTTGTTTCCTGAGGGCATTACGTGACCAATTTTGTGCTGCCTATAAAAAAGAAGAGTGAGAAAAGGCAGATTATAAATGCATTTCAAGCATACCTGAACCAGTTGGGATATTTCAGCCTTCAATGAGGAAACTGTTGGAAACCTTGAAGATAAGCAAAAAGCAATCTGAGGATCCACAGAAAATGCAGTCCTAGCATATTCAACCCATTTATCTGAGCTAATTTTAGGTCGGGATGACGTGTTTTCCCTGTAAGAAATAAAACTTGAGATTGTAAATAAATAACCAAGGAACATAATTATTAAGGATATATGAAAAATATTTTTATAGTAGTATGGAAAATATTCCCTAACAAACATGAATACTGAAACCAGAAACTTGATCAAAATTACTTTGTATTTGAAGGTTGAGCCCAGACTTCAAGTCGTTCAGCCTCATGCTGGGATAGCATTAATAGTAATTGTTTCCGTTTCTCTCTTCCGACAGCATAGTTGTCTATATGGCCCCAAATGGGGTGGTATTGATCTTTCTGCAAAGGATTATCATACTCTGAGTTAGCTGCAAAAATAGTATATTTCAAATCTAAATTCATGGAAGGTAGCTGCTAAGGATGTACACCATAATTCAAGCTTATTAATTTCTACCATATCACCCAAAGAACTTTCATTCTCACGCCCCCGTTCTTTCAAAGATGAGTCCAACTGAAGACCATCTGCTCGCTCATTCAAAAGATAATGGACAAATACAGACACAGACTGTGCCTCACTCTGAGCAAAATTCTTGCTGCTTGTTTCATACCACTCAGGTTCGTAAGCAAACCAACCCAATGCAGCTCTGCAACGTCCAAGGAGACAAAGTTGAGATTCCATATGCGGATAAAAACTGCCCAAATTCTTTTTCAAGGAAAAGGTTCATTTAAATGCCAAATTAGTGAAGAATTATAAGAATTAACTGAGAAAACATCATAGCAATTAGAAGGTATCTCTCCTTCAGTTCAGCAATGAAACATTTATTTTATGTGATGTTCTACAAGAGCATCTACTTAATCTCAGATGCATGGTGCAGTGGTTTGAATACAGCCATGGCAGATGTTCCCCACATGGAAGACCCAGTAACGATTACAGGTGTGAAGGCCTTCTAGCCTTCTATCTACTTATCTGATTCTGCCATTAGGAGAAAAATGCACATCCAAGATGATATAGGATCCAATGGTGGAGCATTTTGAAAGTAAACTGACAGTCAGGAAAGTGAGATACTTGTCAAACAGAGCTAAGATGACTATCATGAAAAGAACTTTAGGAAACCTACCTACCTATTCTCTATCTCTATTTCCTATCCCTGCTTAAGAAGTTAACATAGTTGTCAAAATGATGAGGCCAAAAAAAAAGTGGAAAGAAAGAAAGAAAAAAAGAAAGAATGTAAAAGAAGAAAATAAAAGTGTGAATATATTCTGTTTTGCATGTGTTAGTGTTCGGTCTGCCTGTTAGACTGATAACAGTCAAGGAAGAGAGAGAGAAGAGAGAAGGAGAGAGAGAGAAAGGAGAAGAGCAGAGGAGAAACAAGGAGAAAAGATTCTGGTTCGAATGAGAGAAAAAGTTCACTCTCCCATTCGGCCAGATGTATTTTATATTACTAAAATAATGTGGAAAAGTCACATATGCCCCTACTTAAGTATGGACATTAAATCTAACATAAACTTACACATCAGCACCTAAACACAAGCACAGAGACAAAATTACCCCTACATACTCGACACTAACACCCCCCCTCAAGATGGAGAGTATATATCATATAATCCCAGCTTGTTACATATGTAACCCACTCTCCCCCGACTCAACCCTTTAGTAAACAAATCTGCCCACTAGTTCCTGTGTCGACATATGCAGTGTCTATCACTCCACTCAGCACCTTCTCTCTAACAAAGTGACAGTCAACCTCTATTTGTTTAGTAAACAAATCTGCAGCCTGATTGTCACAGTAGAGCTTCATTGGAGTATCAACAGTGTATCCCATCTTCTGTAGAAGGTTCCTTAGCCACACTAATTCACAAGTAGTATGTGCCATAGCTCTATATTCTGCCTCTACATTGCTTCTTGCACAACTGTTTGCTTCTTGCTTTTCCATGTCACCAGATTACCCCCAAGAAAAGTGCAATAGCCTGTGGTAGATCTCCTATCAGATACAAAACCGGCCCAATCAGCATCAATATATCCTTCTATTTCAAGTTTTCCACCACTTCTGTATATCAAACCGCAACCAGGA